TTTTCAAAACACATCAAGCCTCTTCAAAATGAATTGGATTATCCAATCTGGAAACGCAAGATGCGTGATTTATTGGATTATCATGAAGGAGCAGTTGATGTTATAGATGGTAAGTTAGTGAAACCAATACCACTACCAACCACCGCAACAGCTGAAGAAAAGAAGATACACAGAGATGAAACAGATTTGTTCAGAAAGGCAAATAGTTATGCGAAGTCTATGATTACAAGCGCAGTAAGTGATGAAGTATACCAAAAGATAATGGATAAAGAAACTGCTGCAGAAGCTTGGGAATCATTAATGCTACAATTTGAAGCGAGATCCAAAGATCAATTATTCAAAATCTGTATTGATTTCTTTTCGTTCATGTGGAACACAAATGAAGATGTGAGTCTACATATTGCAAAACTAAAAAGCTTATGGTTGGAACTGAACAACGGTTTAAAAGCAAGGAACGAAAATCAACTGCCAGATGTTTTATTAGTATGTAAAATTCTTCAGATTTTGCCAACACAATTTGATACGTTTAAATCAAGCTGGATGCTTTTAACCAAGAATGAAGAAAAGAATTTTGATGAAATGTCAGCACAACTATGTATGTATGAAAGAAATTGCAAAGGAGCAAATGTGAAAAATGATGAAGCTTTAGTGGTGAATAATTTTAAAAAGAAGTCATCATCAGCAAGTAACAAACAGAATAAGAAATCTGATGTCTGTAATTATTGCAACAAGAAAGGCCATTGGGTACGTGATTGCAGAAAATGGATCAACGACGGTAAGCCAGTAAAAGAAAAGATTAGTGAAGTAAAATGTACATCTCACCGAATACTACCATTAATTTGTGACGAAATAAATGCAATTAATGAAGATTTTTCAAATGATTGGTGGATTGATAATGGTGCAACCCGCCATGTTACGAATAATAGAAGTTTATTTAAAACCTTTGAAAAATTTAATAACTCGTGCAAAATTAAGGCTGCCGGTAAAGAAATTTTGGATGTCCTTGGGAAGGGAACTATAGAGATCAAATCAAAAGTAAACAACAAGGTACTCATATTTGATCTGACAGATGTTTGGTATGTTCCAAACATATCCAGGAACTTGTTCTCCGTATTGTCTACCCAAGATAAAATAAATAATAGTGAATTTAAGTCGACTGCTACTGTCTGTAAACTTTTATCAAACAATGAAGTTTTGTTAGTTGGACATCGAGAAAAAGGAGGTTCCCTATACAAAGCAGATATCGAACCAGTCATCCCAAGAACAATAAATGAAGTTAACTCTACAGAAGCTGATAATACCTTGCAATTATATCATGAGCGATGGGGACATCAAGATAAACGACATGTTCAACAAAAACTCAAGACAGAACTTGGTATTAATGTTAAGTTAGACAACAAGTTATGCGAATCTTGCATTTATGGAAAGTCTCATCGGCAACCATTTGGAACTAGAGAGAAGGCTAGTAGTCCAGGCGAGTTAATGTCATCCGATGTATGTGGTCCATTTCCAGTATCTTTTAGTAAAAAGAAATATTTAGTTATATTTAAAGATTCATATACTAAATACTGTTTTGGCTACTTACTAAAAGAAAAATCTGAAGTTAAAGATGCACTGAAAGAAGTTTTAGCTCTTGCAAAGAACCAAGAAAATCCAATTAAAGAATTTTTGAGCGATAATGGAGGTGAGTTTGATAATTATGAAATACGTAAAATTTTAAAAGAATATGGAGTGACACAGAGGTTGACTGCTCCTTATACATCACAACAAAACGGTGCAAGTGAACGAGAAAATAGAACAGTGATTGAAATGGCTCGAACGTTTAAGTATTCAAATAAGAGCGTTAAATTTCCTGAAGCCATTTGGGCTGAATTAGTTCGCACAGCCATATACATACTAAATCGAACTCGAAAGACTTCTGTTGAAGGTAAGAGCCCACATGAGCTATGGTTTAGAAGAAAGCCTAGAATAAATTATTTAAGAATAATTGGAAGTGAATGCTATGCCCATGTTCCTAGTCAGAAGAGAAAGAAAATGGATCCAAAAGCAACCAAGGGCTACTTAATTGGATATGACACAGAAGAACGTTACCGAATTTATGTAAAAGAAAATCACAGTATATTATTATCAAGAGATGTTAAGTTTAGTGAAGAACTAATAAATTGTGATGATTTTCAAGATGCTAGTGAGAATATTTCGGAAGACAGGAGTGGTGAAATTATATTAAAATTTAAAAATTACGAAAAGCCAATTGAGGAAGTGGATCTAAAGCAAGCCAAGCACTTCTCAGGACAGTCAGTATGCTGTAAGCGAATCCCAACCTAGTCACCAGGAAGATAATTCAGATACTGAAGAAAACGAATTTTATGAAGAGTGTATAGAAGATGGTTATTCAGACTCAGATGTAAGTGATTTCCACGGTTTCGAGGTAAATAAGCGTAAAAGATCATTTACTAATGACGATGAGGAACCGATGAGCAAACGACTCAGAGATCGCACCTTATTACATAATTCAAGATTTGATGATTACGTTATGGCGTCCCAAGATTTCGTAAGTCAAATTGAAACTCCGGTTACATTTGGCGATGCAATTAATAGCGCAGAAAAGAAAGAATGGATGAAAGCCATGAATTCCGAAATGAATTCGTTAAAGGAAAACCAAACGTGGGAAATGGCTGATCTCCCAAAAGATTCCAAAGCTCTGCCATCAATGTGGGTATTTAAAGTGAAAACTAATCCTGATGGAAGTATAGACAAATATAAAGCAAGATTGGTAATAAAAGGCTTTAAACAGCGTAAAGGTGTAGATTACAATGAAACATTTAGCCCTGTAGCCAAATTGGGAACAATTAGAGCTATTCTAAGTGTAGCTGCTAGTCAAAACATGCATATATCTCAATTTGATGTTTCAACAGCGTTTCTTTATGGTCATCTTGAGGAAATTATTTATATGAAACAGCCCGAAGGTTTTGATGATGGTACTAAGAAGGTATGCAAACTTAAAAGAAGTTTATATGGATTGAAGCAAGCCCCACGATGCTGGAACCGAAGATTTGGGAAGTATTTATTGGAGCTTGGTTTTAAGGCTAGTGAAGCGGATCCATGCTTATATATGAGAGATAAAAATGGTAAGAAGTTAATACTTGCCCTATATGTAGATGATGGCCTAGTAGCTGCTACATATCCCAAAGAGTTGGAAGTGTTTTTAACAGAATTAAGAAGAGAATTCAAAATAACTACCAAAGATGCAAGCTATTTTCTAGGATTGGAAATAAAAAGAGATGATAATGGCATTTTTATTAACCAAGAGGCGTACGCAAAGAAGGTCTTAGAAAGATTCAGATTTTCAGAAAGCAGATCGGTTTCCTCGCCAATGTTAAAAGGTGAAAGTTTCGAACCAGGGAAAGAAAACATGAAGGGTTCTCAATTTCCATATAGACAAGCCGTAGGAGCCATCATGTATTTAATGTTGGGAACAAGACCTGATTTAGCCTATAGTGTTGGGTTCCTGTCTAGAACGTTAGAAAATCCTTCCAATGATGATGTTATCCGTGTCAAAAGAGTTCTTCACTACATATCTGGAACAGTAAAGTACGGAATTTCTTATAAAAACAAGTCAGACCAAGAACTTAAATGCTACAGGGATGCAGACTTTGGTGGATGTTTAAAAACAGGAAGGTCCACAACAGGTGTTATTGTGAAATTTGCTGGAGGAGTTATTTCATGGTTAAGCCAAAGGCAAACTATGGTTGCTACATCCACAACGGAAGCCGAAATAGTAGCAGCCTCAGAAGCAACAAAAGAAGTTATTTGGATAAGGCGCTTATATGCAGATTTAATTGGTTTGAATGACATTCCTTTACTTTACGTTGATAATTCTGCTGCTGTACGATTGGCCCAAAATCCACAATATCATAGACGAACAAAACATATTAGTTTGAAGCACTTCTTTGTTCGTGAAAAAGTCAGTGAAAGAGAACTTGAAATTCAACAAATTTCTACTCAAGATCAATTAGCGGATTTGATGACAAAACCCTTACAACCTACAAGATTGAAGATGCTTTGTAATCAAATCGGTTTAGAAATCTCCAACATCACATAACAAGGGAAAGTGTTGAATTAAATTGTTATGTTATGTATAATATTTTGTATATTGATTGTATTTTTATATTAGTAATATTTGTATTTGTTGATTTTTCAATTCTCATAATATTTTATTCGAAATAAAACATTTACTACAAAATATAATTTCCCTTTAAACTGTGTGGCAACGTTTTTATTTATTTGTTTACAAAAACTAAATATCAAAAAATCTTATTTACGTCAAAAAATGTTTCATTAAGAGAGAACGGAGTTACCTTGTTTTCTTTATACCATGAATGAAATCAACTTTCAAACACCAAATTAATTTTATGTATATTAGGGTACAACCAAAATAAGACCAGTGTTAGCCAGTAGTGTTTTAATAACGAAAACCATTTTCTCAGGTCATTTTGGAAACGTTTTAATGCCCTTTTTATACTCTATGTGAAATAGATAGGGCCAATTTTCAAAAAATGTAAAAAAGTTATTTCCCTAATTTACATACATATGTATATGTTAGATCTCTTATTCTGCACGGATTTTAATAATTTTTGGGTGGGGGTTGACAGCTCCTTTAATTTAAAATGCTACCCCAAATAAGGCCTGCTATACATAAAATGAGAATATAAAAAAATATTTATACCATACAAATTGGTTTAGGAATTTATGTTTGCTCCAAATAATTTTTCATATTTATAGTTTCTATTTCTCAAAGTGTAATTTGCTTATAAATAGTTTTTTAATGTTTTGTTTTGATTTCGATATTCTCCCATGTAAACAAACTATTATGGTACTTTACACAAAACACAACATATGTACGTACATATTTTTACCCTTAAATACAACACTGCAAATGTTTATAGAATATTTTTGACATTTGCTCTTGCTATTATTTTTCTTCTTATTGTGTGCGAACAGCTGTCTTCATAGAGGTTTTGTTTGTTTTAAATTTTTCTCGGTCGCAAAGAGATTTCAATCAAATAAATAACAATTAATTTAAAAATTAACAAACTAAAGCAGCTAAAATGCAAACAAATATAAACAATTATTGACAATAAAGCAACAGAGTGCTTACAACAATTGAAATTGGAAACTTTTTACATCATAAACATCAATTACGTTGCTGACAAAAAGACAAAAAAAAAAAAGTGCAAATTCGTTGTGCAGGCCGAAAAATAAAACAATAACAATAAGGTGTGACTCCTCAAGGAGACTACTAAAGGAATTAAACTTTGTTTAGGGAATTTTTAATGAAATCTTTGCTAAAATTTTATTTTTTATGAAGGCTATGGTTTTATTTAGAATTTAAAATTTGTAGACACTTCATTGATAATTGGTTTGAAATATTACAGGTGCTACTACACAAGAGGAACGAGTGGGTGTTAATAGTGACTAATATTTGCTTTGTCTACACGTTTTTATTGTGTTAGCTTCAGTAACTTCAGTTGCATTTCGTGGTGCCACAATGGAAATGAAAGAAGTTTTCGCCCGTGAGGGCAGAGGAGATGTCAAAAACTTGTTGGTCTATCAAATGCGTGATGATAAACCACTGGCTTTGGGTGCTAATTATGAGAGTAAGTTAAATTATAATAAAATTTATAAAGTTTCGCCGTGTTTTGAGATTACACGAAGAAAAAATTAAAGTAAATAATTGTAATCGGATATATTCGATCATATGACACCCTACACTGATGAATTTATGGCGACATCTTATGGTAACGCCGTTTACAACTCATTTATAACAAATTGCATTTTATATGATTATGAGCCTTAAAGTTATTTAAAAATTACTCCTCATAATCTTAACGTATATTAACTAAGAATAGAAACCATAATTTGAAATTAAAAAAATTCTCCCACATTACTTACAGAGTCTGTGCCGTCACCATTACACACACATCGCAAACCACCAAAATCTCCAAATGCTTTATTGCCCCCGACTGCCTTGACACCCAAAAAATCACACTCGCCTTCACGCCATTCTAGTAAACAATCAACGGGTCCCAGAGTGCGAAGTGCTTCTACGGGTCGCGATAAAAAGTCAGAACTGCAGGCTCGCTATTGGGCTTTACTGTTTGGTAATCTGCAGCGTGCAGTTAATGAAATCTATCAGACTGTGGAGTGTTATGAAAATATATCGTCTTGTCAGGAGGCCATACTGGTTTTAGAAAACTACGTACGAGACTTTAAGGCCTTGAGTGAGTGGTTTAAGGTCTCGTGGGACTATGAATCGCGTCCCTTACAGCAAAGACCCAATTCTTTGGCTTGGGAGGTACGAAAGAGTAATCCGGTGCCTCGTGTAAGAGCTAAATCTTTGTCCAGTCCAACGGTATCGGGAAAATCTAGCCCATGTCCTTGTAACTCGGGTAAAAGTTCTCCATGTTTGGGTAATTTGGATCAACATTCACCACGTAAAGGTTACCGGGTAAATGTACGAGAACTATTTGCTTCTTCTAAGAGACAGCACTCGGATAATCCAAAAGAATTTGAACACCATATTCAGGAACAACAGCCTCCTCCTCCTGTGTCACCCAGAGTGGAGAATCATGAAGAAGAGGAGACTTGCCATATGATTTTGGAAAATCGTAGCCATCAATATGCTCAAACTGATTTGGAAGATGATCATTTAACCTTAGCGGGAATACGAGAGAAAATGCAACGTGAACAGGAAGAAAGAGAGGCTCAATTGCGACAGGAAGAAGAATTAAAAAGGCAACAAGAAGTGGCAAGAGAACAGCAAGAGGAAGAAGAAAAACAAAAGAAAGCTAATGAACTGGCGGAGGCACAACAAAAGCAACAAGAAATTGCAAAAGAACCAACAGCCCTAGAAATTACTGTTAAGAAATTAGATGACATGGAAAATGCTTTTCTTTCCACCAACACTAAAAAGGAACCTACACCACCTGATACCGTTCTAAAAAAGGTGCAACCTTTGGAAGAAAAATCAACTAAATGCGAAAAACCGGCAACAGAAGGAAATAAAAAAGCTACGACATTACCCTCTACAGCCCAAAATAGTCCTTTAAAGTATTCCAGTGTTTTAAATAGGCCAGCAGCACCGGCCAATAGTAATGCTAATACAACAAAACCAACAATTACAACAAATGCAACTAATAATGCAAATCCTGTTAAACCAGTAGTTAATACCAAGGCATCTACTTTAAGAGCTTCAGCTGGTAAGCCGATTAACACAACCACAGCAGCTAAAACTGGCTTTAATACTACATTGAAACGTTCCGCTACTACAGCTGCTGCAACTTCTCAAAAACCACCATTTGCTAGTGGAAAAGCTTTACCCAGAAACAGTAGAAATTCTCTACCCCCACGTTCAGTCAACAGCAAACCAGATAATTATGGTCCACCCACTAATGTGGCCTCTCGTTTGTCAGCTCGATCACGTACTATGATTGAAATGAATCAGAACGGTGGAGGACCACAAAAGACTGCGAATAACTTAAAGCGCCAAACATCTATAACTTCAAAATATCTTAACAGCAACAACAATTTAACTTCCCATAAATCATCTAAAGATGATATAGGCAGCTCAACATCAACCCTGAAAGCCAGTAATGAAAAGATCTCATCGTCACGTTCCAGCATCAATCAGCATCCAACAACAGCGGACGATCGTAAATCAGAACCCAAACAAATGCCCAGTAATAATAATGACAACAATGACGGTTGGTTGACAGTGAAAAATAGGAGACGATCCAGTATGCATTGGTCTTCTAGATTTAATCAGCCAACAGGTTACGCTAGTTTGCCCACCTTGGCGCTACTCGATGAGAAGCAAAGTGATGAGGAACAAGAGGTGAAATGTGCCACAGATGCAAAAAGTAAACCACAAACCAATGGCCATACTAGCAAACCATCAAAAGTGGTAAAACAAACGCAAAAAGTGGCACCAGATAAAAATAAAACATTAACATCATCTTCTTCAACTCTAAGGCCAGAAATTAAAAATGCTAAAGCCAAAGTCAATTCCTTGCCAACTCAAAAGAAAAGCTCTACTAATGCTTCTTCGATACAAGCGAAAAAGGAGTCAACACCTCCTTTAATAGCTAGGACTACACCAGCCATAGTGCCCACCAGACAAACTAATATAAAGCGTCAAAAGTCTGATCTGACAGGACTCAAAATGACTTCTTTACATAAGGAATATATGCGCAGTGAAAAGTTGGCTTTGCGCAAACAAAACAACAGTCTTAATGGTGCAGCCAAGTCCTCCGAGTTATTGAATCATTATCATTTGGGTTCCGGTGATTGCTCTGATATAAATTCGTCTGCCGAAACCATAGTAGAAGCTCAGAGCAGCCTTTCACCCGAATTAACTAACTCAGACATAAGTTGTGGCGATCATAATAAAATCGACATTAAAATACAAACCAATCGAGACTTTTCCAAAACTATAGGCGACCTTTATAAAAGCATTGCCAATAAAGCGGAAAATTCCATTACCACTTCATCAACCTCTGGGCCTGGTGCTCTTTCGAGTTGTGATGAAAACGATGAGTGTGATGAACATCAACGTTTACTTGTTGAAGAACAGGAATCATTGGAGCGGCAGATTCGTGAATTAGAATCTACAGAAATAGATGTTGATACGGAAACCGACGAAACTGACTGTGAAGTTGGCATTCTTGAGACAGATCGTGATGATGAAGAGGAATTTGGTTTCCATGACGGCTTAGATGCCTCCTCTGTTGTGTTTGTGCCTATTAATGGCCAGGAGGATGATTCAAATCTCAGCCTGGAGACCAGATATCAGGCCTTGTTGTCCGAAATGTCTTGGGGTGAAAGAGAAGAAGCTTTGGCCACATTGCAGGCTTACGTCTCCCGCCATCCAGGCAGAGCTCAAGAACTACATCAAAAACTTTCATCTCCTTCCAGAAGACGTTCACTGCAGGAAACTTTAAAAAAATATCAAGCAAAACAGGCGCGAGCCCAACAAAAGCGTGAAAATCTTAAGAAGGAAAAAGCCATAAAAATACAACAGCTTTTGGCACGTGTGGAAGATGTTAAAGCAGCCAAGAGACAATTAATAGAAGATAAACGTTTAAAAATGGAGGGCAGACTGCAACGTGCTGCCGAAAATCGTGAACTGTATTTGAGGCAAATCATTGAAAAAGCCCACGATGAAGAGAAAAAGCTCAAAGAAATTAATTTTATCAAAAACATAGAGGCACAAAACAAAAGGTTGGATCTCATAGAGTCTTCCAAAGAGACGGAGGGACGTTTACAGGATTTAGAACAAGAAAGACAAAAGCGACTAGAGGAGAAGGCAGCTAAAGAGGCAGCAGTTGAGAGACGTCGCCAGGAGTTGGAAAAAGAAAGGCAACGTAAATTGGAGAAAATGAATGAGACTCGTTTAGAAAAGGAACAACGAATTGGCAAAATGCAAGAACAAAAGGAGAAACAACGTCAAGCACTGGCTCGTGAGAAGGCCAGAGATCGTGAGGAACGTTTGTTGGCATTGCAAGTGCAGCAACAACAAACCACCGAAGAACTACAAAGGAAAATATTACAAAAACAAAAGGAATCGGCTAGACGTCACGAGGAGAATATCGAACATATAAGACAAAGGGCTCTAGAGCTAACCATACCTTCGAGAAATGTAGAAGAAAATGGTCTTATACGTTCCGAAGGTGAAGAGCAACCAGTTGAAGATTGTGATCTCTCATCGACCGTCTCAGATGTGGGCAGTCGAGAACATACACGTGGCTATAAAAAGAAAATGAAGAAACTAAAACAAAGAATGTCACAAGGGTAAGAACAAAAGTATTAAACAATAAAAATAGATGCATTCTAACAAATTATTTTATTTTTTTTTAATTTCAGAGCCGAAGAATATATGAAAGAACTACAACCCGTTCCATTACACATGAAACGAGAATCTCAAGTTCCCAAATATCTTAATTTGGTTAATAAAGGTGGTGGTTCTCAAGGTTTGGAACGTGCTATCGGTCAATTATTGCGCATTATGGCTAAAGCCCAAGTCTTTGACTTCCAATGTTTCCTTCTAATGGATGGTTTGGGAACAATTTCTTCAAATGTCATTACCAAAGGCATGCAAGATGATGCAGAAGTTTCCAAAAAGTAAGTTTCTATTTAGATATTTATGTAAACTGCTACTAATTGAAGTTTGTTTCTCTTTTAGGGCCGTTGTTCTTGCAGTGCAATTGTATCGTAATGCTTGTACATTATGTCCTCAAATAGCACGTCATGCCATTTTAGGAAATACTCTTGTTGTTTTATTTGATGCTTTATTCCAAAGTTTGCAGGTAAGTTTAACTGATTTTTGCTATTATTTTTATAAAATTTTAAAGCTATTTTGTGTACTCACACTCCTATTCCATAAGACTTTTGCCAAATCGTCGTCATGAAAAAATAGTATTTTAAACCACGAATATTTTTTATTGGATTTATCTCAATGTTTTGTCGTGTTGTTTTTCCAAATATTATACATAATACATAACTATTTTCCTAGACATAATGTATACCCGGCAATAAATTACATAACAAAGATGTTGTTTAATCACGGGTTTAAATAATGCCTATTTATATCTATACATATCGAACATTACATTCGAAATATGTGAAGTATAAAATATATAAATTTGTTGTCAATATGATGTTTTTTCAATAGTCATAGGGCACTGGCACACGTTCAATATATATTGATCAATTTGGATCACGACCCATTTTAATGGATTGATGAATACCTCGGGTATGCTACACCTTCAATATTTTTTACGTCAGTATTTGCAATATTTTATGGTATACGGGTCAGCAGATGATTAAACTAATGCCTCGAAAATCCCGAATTAACACAAATTTAGAAAAAAGTAATTTTCTGTTATATTTTTTAACAACATTTAAAACAATATTTCATTGTTATTTATTTTATTTTATTTATTTTTCCAAATTTTACAAAAGTATCGTGATTGATATCACAAAACATGCTACACCTTCAATATTTATCACGTGATCCATTATAAATATTGATAATAATTTTGGATTTCACAAAATTGGGGTTTTCTGTGATATGGAATACGATCCATCAATATTACGCGAAAACTCCAAATTCATACAAATTTGGAAAAAAAATATTATCTTTTATATTTTTTATTAACATTTAAAAAAATATTTGACTTTGTTTTTTTTTATTTTATTTATTTTTCCGAATTTTACAAATATATCGTGATTGATATCACAAAACATGCTACACGTTCAATATTTATCACGTAATCCATTATAAATATTGATACAAATTTTGGATTTCAGAAAATTGGGGTTTTCTGTGATATGGAACACGATCCGTCAATATTACATGCTACACGTTCAATACATATCACAATACAGCAAATATCATGATATATATTGAACGTGTGACACTGCCCATGAAAATACTGACGCGATAAAGATTGAACGTGTAGCATATCGAGGTATTCATCAAACTATTAAAATGGGTCGTGATTCATATTGATCAATATATATTGAACGTGTGCCAGTGCCCATTCAATATTTATCACGTAATCCATTATAAATATTGATACAAATTTTGGATTTCAGAAAATTGGGGTTTTCTGTGATATGGAACACGATCCGTCAATATTACATGCTACACGTTCAATACATATCACAATACAGCAAATATCACGATATATATTGAACGTGTGACACTGCCCAATGTGTAGCATGTTTTGTGATATCAATCACGATACATTTTTAAAATTTGGAAAAAAAAGTGAAATAAAGCAAATAAAAATGAAATATTGTATATGTTAAAAAATGGTAGATTTTTGCAGTTTTTTGGACGAGAAGTTGCATTGACTCGTTTTTTGCTCGTATTTTTGGGAATTGCGCGATTCCCTTTGACCTTTTTTTACAATTCGTTATTTAAATTACAATTTTGAAAACATAAAAATTTCATTGATTTCCGTTAATAAAGCCTTCATTACATATTTGAAGCATGGAGCCGAATAAGGGCGTATAAACCATTTGGAAAATTATACAGGAGAGCATAAAAAGATCATAAAACTTTAAAATTATATATTTTTGATAATTTCAGTAAAAAATTCAAATCACAATTTGCAAAAATCGACAATGGAAATATTGATAAAATGGAATAAGGACATATATCCATATATTTTTGTTGAATATGTTCAGAAATAATTGATTTTTCATGTACTTATTATTTACTAAATTAAATAAAACGTGGACAGCATCAACATAAGAGACCAGAGTAAAACTTGCTTAAGTTTCAAGGAAGTCCTTGATTATCCTTTAGAATTATTAAAGAATAAAAAATGAAAATCCATTTTTGCTATTTTTATACCCTTCACCTTCGTGAGAAGGGTATATATAAGTTTGTCATTCCGTTTGTAATTTCTATAATATAATTTTCCGACCCTATAAAGTATATATATTCTGGATTCTTATAGATAGCGGAGTCGATTTACATTTTTCGTGCATGCTTATACAAAACAATAAACAAACAAAAACAAAACACAGTATCAAACGGTAAATTTTTTTGTTATTGTGAATTTTCTATAATATTGAACCTAGAAACATGAAATTAAGTTTGTAGAGTCCGGATTATGCGAGAACACATAAAAGGGGACTTTTTGGTACTTTTTCGTTACACAAAAGGTACTTTTTGAATTTTCTATAATATTGAACGTAGAAACATTAAATTTAGTATGTAGGGCCTTGACTAGGTAAGAACCTATAAAAGGGGACTTTTTGGTACTTTTTCGTTCTACAAAAGGTACTTTTTGAATTTTCTATAATATTGAACCTAGAAACATGAAATTAAGTATGTAGAGTCTGGATTAAATGAGAACCTATAAAAGAGGACTTTTTGGTACTTTTTCGTTCTTCAAAAGGTACTTTTTGAAATTTCTATAATATTGAACCTAGAAACATGAAATTAAGTTTGTAGAGCTCGGATTAGGCGAGGACACATAAAAGGGGACTTTTTGGTACCTTAACGTTTTGCAATTGGTATTTTTTGATTTTTATACCCTACACCACTTTAGTGGGGAGGGTATATTGGATTTGTGCTGATGTTTGTAACATACAAAAATATTCGTCCTAGACCCACCTTAAAGTATACCAATCGGCTTAGAATCGTTTTCTGAGTCGATTAAGCTATGTCCGTCCGTCCGTCTGGCTGGCTGTCCATGTAAACCTTGTGCGCAAGGTACAGGTCGCAATTTTCAAGATAATTGGATGAAATTTGGCACGCACGTTTTATTTGACCCAAGGACGAAGCCTATTGAAAATGGTTAAAATCGGTCCATTATTTCACCTAGCCCCCATAGAACAGAACCCCCCGAAAAGGGCTTCTGAGCTCATAATTATGTCAAATATACAGATATATCGATAAAATACGGCACAACTAAGTTTTATAGAAGTCTTGATGACCCTGCCAAATTTCATAAAGATCGGGCCCCATTTGACCCTAGCTACCATACAAAGTCCCCTTCAGAAAATTACTTGAATGTCCCAAATTAACTTATAAACACAAATATCGCGATAAAATTCAGCACAATAAAATATTATGTAAATATAAATATATTCACAAAATTTTATCGGGCTTGGTCCATATTTGCCCCTAGCCCCCATATAAAGCCTCTTTCAGAAAATTAGTTTTTCATCCATAAATTGCTTAAATGTATCGGAACAAGGGAATATTGAAGATAAATGCTTTATTATGAAAAATAAATCACATTTAATATTCATAACTGGTGTAGGGTATCATATGGTCGGCCACGCCCGACTATACTTTCTTACTTGTTTGTAATAAAATTCGTACTGACTGTTTTTTAACACATCAAGGTAAAGGGTATATAAGATTCGGCACAGCCGAATATAGAACTCTTACTTGTTATACATAAAATATGCAATATTTTTGAGTTATATATAGTTATTAGTATCACAATAGTTCCATATAAGGACGAAATACTTCTTAACTTAAAACTATTCAAAAACTCAAAAATTGCCTTGTTAATATATTTTCCTATAATTATGGATATACGCCCGATTTGTTTTCAATGTTGAAATTAATGTTAAAATAATATATTTTTGCAGTCATTCAATTCATGGAATTGAAATGTATTCCTTCTAATTTTTTAAAAATTTTTGTATTTTTATATAGGGCTTTAAAAGAAAGAACTGCGTGACGTGATGTGACAGAAATAGAAGTTGTTTTTTTTTTCTTTTTTGACAAAAATGTAGAAATCTGCGAGTTTCATCTGGCTTTGATTAAAACATTTTTTATTGTAATTTGGAATGTTTATTGATTGTTTTTCAGCTTTTAGAACTAAAAATTGAATTGATGTGACAAAAATTTACAATGATGAAATTTGCAATATTATTGAAAATTAATTAGTCCATAGATTTATTTTGGATGGACATTGTTGAAAGTTTTTGAAATCGGACAAATATTTCGACTATTTAATAACATATTAGTTGAAAATAGCTCCCGTATAAGAATAATATAAGTATTAACATTAATTAACATAAAACATTTAGAAATGCTTCTATCACCATAAAATTCAACACAACTAATTTTGACATACACAAAAATCGTTCAACCTATTTTTTTTTTAAATAGGTCCATGATTAGTAGGGATGCCAATCCCGAAAATCCCGGGTATAGAAAATCCCGAATCCCGGGATTTGCAAAATAAATCCCAGGATTTTTTCGGGATTAAGATATCCCGAATCCCGGGATTTTTCAAAATGAATCCCGGGATTTGTTACTAAAAATTCGCTTAAAAATTACGATCTTAGTTTATTTTTTACTTATGCAGAACAAAATTCAGCACAGCTAATGTTGTACATTTTGAACCTTTTATTTTTTATAGTGGTATGATACCATATATAATACATACAAATTTATTTTTTCATTTCGTCGTAGACCCAAAAAGCATACACATTTTTTGTCTATAGTAGACTCAAATTTGGACCAAAATTAACACAAGAAATCGTAAAAGGACCTCCTCTGAAAATCAATTTGATGCCAATATTAATATCAATACATTACAAGCCGCTATTTGATGAAATTCACTTTTAAAATAGAATCGATCTGAATCTACAAAAATAATCCAAAAATTGTGTAATATTCATTTTCTGTGGCTTTTCATACAAATTATAATTTTTTTTAATTGATTCTCTTAAATGGAAAGTATTTTGTTGTCTGCGTATTATTTTGCAAGAAAATAATAAACCATTTCTCGATCGAAATTCATCATACCTTTTCAAATCGATTGAT